TGTTCTGTGGGAACTTAAAAAGAATGTGTATTCTGCTCTTGTTGGGTGTAGTGTTCTGTAAATTTCAATTAGATCTTATTGGTTGATGGAGTTGTTGAGTTCTGTATTCTTGCTGTTTTCTATCTGAATGTTCCATCAGTTCTTTAGAGAGGGGTGTGGAAGTCTCCAACTATAATTGTGGAATTGCCTATTCTTTGTTTCATTTTTTTTGCTTCACATATTTTGCTGTCTTCCTGGTGGGTTGATACTTTTATGGTAATATAATTCCCCCTCTTTGTCTCTGATAACTTTATTTGCTTGGAAGTCTACATTATCTGATATTAATATAGTCACTTATGCTTTTCTTTGATTAATGTTTGCATTATAAATTATTTTTACCCTTTTACTTTCATCCTCTCTATAACATTACATTTGAAGTCAGTTTCTTATAGATACTATATAGTTGGGTCATGGTTTTTAATCCACACTGCAATCTCTGTCACTTAATTGGTGCATTTAGACAATTTACATTTAAGTTAGAGATTTAGTTTACCATTTCATTTTTTGTTTCCTGTTTGTTCTCTCTGATTTCTTTGGTTTCTCTATTTTCTTTTGCCTACCTCCCTGTTACTTGGACATTTTCTAGAATTCTACTTTTATTTATCTATGGTTTTCTTTTTGTATGTGTGTGTGTGTGTGTGTGTGTGTGTATCTCTTTATATAACTTTTTAGTTTTGCTCTAGCTATTACATTATAGAAATATAACTTATCAAGATCTACTGATGTCATCATTTTACCAATTCAAGTGATATACAAAACACTTATCTCCCTTCAGTTCTCTTTACACTTCTCCATTTATAATATAATTGTATTAAACATTTCCTCTACATATATTTAAAAATATAAAAATTTTTGCTTTAACTGACAAACATAATTCATAAAACTCAAAAGGAAAAGGAAGCTCTATTGCATTTACCCATATTTTTGCTTTACACATTTTTGTTTCTTGTAGATATTCCAAGATTTCTTTTAACTATTTTCTTCCTGTTTAGAGAACTTTCTCTAGTCGTCCTTTAAAGGTAAGTCTGCTGGCAACAAATTCTCTTATTTTCCTTTCATCTGAAAATATCTTCATTCCTGGGATATTTTTTGAGATACAAACTCTGGGCTTGCAGTTCTTTTCTTTCAGCACTTGAAAAATATCCTGCCACTGAACATTCTGCTTCTGGCCTCCATGGCTTCTGATGACAAATCCACTGTCACTCAAGTTGTTTTTATCCTATGTAACATACTGTTCCTCTCTTGCTGCTCTCAAGGTTTTTTCCTTTGTCATTATTCTTAGAAGTTTGAATAGTATGTGGCTTGGTACAGTTTCCTTTATTTTTCTTGCTTAGGATTTGCTTAGCTTCCTGAATATGCTTACGTTTTTTGCAAAATTGGGGAAGTTTTTAGCCATTATTTCTTCCTATATATTTTCGGTCACCCCCCTTTCTTTTTTTTCTCCTTCCAAGACTGGTAACACAAATACTAGATCTCTTATTAAATTCCTACAAGTCCCTGAGTAGTTGCTAATTTTTTTTCAGTCTACTCCTCTTTGTTGTTCAGACTGGATAAATTCTATTGTTCTATTTTCATGTTCACTGATCCTTTCCTGCCTCCTCTATTCTATTTTCGAGCCTATCCATTGAGCTTTTTATTTCAATTATTGTAATTTTTAATTCTAAAATTTTAGTGATTCTTCCTATATTTCAATTTCTTTATTAAGACTTTCTATTTCTTTTCTGCTTATTTTTTAATTGAGGTATTATTGACATATAACATTATACTACTTTTAAGTATACAACTAACAATTCAATATTTGTATATATTATGAAACACCATGACGATAAGTCTAGTTAACATCCTTCACCATACATAGTTACAGAATTTTTTCTTGTGATGAGAAATTTTAAGATCCATTCTCTTAGCAACTTTCAAATATGCAATACAGTATTATTAACCATAGTCATCATGCAGTATATTACATCCCCATGACTTATTTATTTTATAACTAGAAGTTTACATCTTTTGACTCCCTTCACCCATCTCACCCATCACCCACTCTCTGTCTCTAGCAACCACCAATCTGTTCTTTGTATCCATGAGCTTGGTTTTTGTTTGTTTTTTTATTTGTTTGTTTAGATTCCACATATAAACGAGATCATATGGTACTTAGATGTCTCTGACATTTCACTTAGTATAATATCCTCCAGGTACATCCATGTCATTGCAAATGACAAAATTTCATTCTTTTTTATGGCTGAATTATGTGCATGCATGCATAAGTATATACACGCATGCATGTACATACATACATACATACATACATACCACAATTTTTTATCCATTCGTCAATGGACACTTAGGTTATTTCCATATCTTGGCTATTGTAAATAATGCTGAAATAAACGTGGGAATGCAGACATCTTTTCAAGTTAGTGTTTTCATTTTCTTCAGATAAATACCCAGAAGTAGAATTTCTGGATCCTATGATAGTTCTACTTTTAATTTTTTAAAGAAACTTCAAATCATTTTCCATAGTGGCTGCATCAATTTACATTCTCACTAAGAGTGCACAGGGTTCCCTTTTCTTTACATCCTCGCCAAGACTTGTTATTTGTTTGCTTTTTGATAATAGCCATTCTAACAGATGTGAGGTGATAGCTCATTGTGGTTTTGATTTGCATTTCCTTGATGATTAGTGATGTTGAGCATCTTTTCATAGACCTATTGGCCATCCGTATGTCTTCTTTGGAAAAAAGTCTGTTCAGATCTCCTGCCCATATTTTAATTGGATTGTTTGGGTTTTTTTGATATTGAGTTGTATGAGTTCTTTATGTATTTTGGATATTAGCCCCTTATCAGACATATACAGTTTGAAAATATTTTCTCCCATTCAGTAGGTCGCCTTCTCCTTTTGTTGATGGTTTTCTTTGCTCTGCAGAAGCTCTTCAGTTTGATGTAATCCTACTTGTATATTTTCGCTTTTGTTGCCTTTGCTTTTGGTGTCTAATCCAAAAATCACTGTCAAGACTGATAATAAGAAGATTACCATCTGTGTTTCCTCTAGGAACTTTATAGATTCTAGTCTTACACTCAAGTTTTTACTCCATTTTGAGTTAACTTTTGTGTGTGGTGTAAGATAGTGGTCGAGTTTCATTCTTTTGCAAGTGGCTTCCCAGTTTTCCCAACACCATTTATTGAAGGGACTGTCCTTTCCCTGTTATTCTTGGCTGCTTTGTCATAAGTTAATTGACCATATATGTGTGGGTTTATTTCTGGGCTCTTTATTCTGTTCCATTGATCTATGTGTGTTTTTTAAGGCCAATACCATACTGTTTTGATTACTGAAGATTTGTAATATATTTTGAAATAAGGTAGCATGATGCCTATGGCATTGTTTTTCTTTCTCAAGATTGTTTTGGCCATTTGGGATTCTTTTATGGTTTCGTACAAATCAAATTTAGGGCTGTTTGTTCTATTTCTATGAAAAATGCAACTGGAATTGTGATAGGAATTGCGTTTAGTCTATTTCTTTAAATTTGTTTCAAGTGAGTTCATAATTGCTTATCGAAGCATTTTAATGATGGTGGCTATAAAATTTTTGTCTGATAATTCTAACATGTCTGTTATCTCAGTATTGGCATCTATTAACTGTCTTTTCACATTCAGTTTAAGATTTTCCTAGTTCTTGGAATAACTAGTGATTTTCTATTGAAATTCGGATAGTTTGGGTTATAATTGAGGCTCTGGATCTTATTTAAACCTTCTGCTTTAGTTGACATTCTGCTAGGGCTCCTCTGATACCAGCACAGTGGGGAAGGAAAGGAGTGACTCATTACTACTAGGTGGGGATGGACGTCCAGGATCCCCATGTGGTCTTAACTGACAACACAGAGGGGAAACCTCATTACTATTCTGTTAAGGTGAAAGTCCTAGCTCAATACTCAGTCTTCTTTGAAACCACTCTGGCAAGGGTGTTTACAGTGCCTTGTTATATCCTGACAAGAGTAAAATCTAGATTTCCGACTAAGCCTTTGCTGGTGAAGGTGAAGGTAGGGCTACAGTTATTTCTGTGGTGTTTGGCTGAAATGGAGTGATTATTGTCTAAAAACTTTCTGTCTTTTTAGGCTGAATCTTTCCCGACTCTTTAGCTAGAGAGAGAGCAGTCTTCTATTGGAGCTTTTTTTTCTTGACCTGTTTTAGTTTCTAGATGACCAACTTTTGCGGCTCCAAGTCTAAGATATATGATGCAAAAAAAGAAAACCCAAGAAACTAACTCACCACCAAGTCATTTCTTCAGTCCCAAAGTTCCTAAGTAGTGCGCTTCATTCTCTCCACCTTTCGGAGTCTTTTATGTTTGGAACATCCAGTATTTTTAGTTGTACTTAGCAGGAAGAATAGGAAAACGTAAAAGTACTTATGCCCCATCTTCCCCAGAAATGGAAGTCTCGCAACTAACTTAATGAGCCACCACTCATTAAGCTTGGGCATATTATTTGGCATAATTGTGGAGAACATCCTCAATTATGTTAAAAATTATTAAAATAATATTTTGTTTTCCATCTATATATCTGTGCAAGACCAAAATTTTTCAACTAAAACAACCTACCACAAAATTGAATGCAGAAGCAAACATGAGAATCCAGCCACCTTCTATTAAGCCAGACATTAAAGAGATTTGCAAAACAAGTAAAATCCTAGTTTTCTCATCAAATCTTTTGTTTAAAAATATAATATTTTTCATAAAAATACACTATTTATATTAATATATACAACTGTATTACTGTTCTTTTTAATAAATAAATAAACATTTAGCATTTTCTCAGTTTTAATTTTCATTATAAATGTCAATAGATATGACCCACATAAATAATTATTGAGGTCCTCAATAAATTTTAAGAGTATAAAAAAAGGCCTTGAAATTTAAAAGTTTGAGAACCTATGAAGTAGGGAAAACTAATATTAACAAAAGTTCTTACTTCCTCTCCCAGGAGTTGTAGATATGGTTCCTGAGCATGCTGTCTAGTTCCTTGTGCCAATTCAGGTGGTATCTCTGGTGTTGGAACATATGCTTGCTTGTCATCTATAGCAGGAATTCCTTGCAGTATTCTACAGTGTGATAAAAACAATAAATTTGTTTTTTAAGTCATAAAGCAAGAGATGTTTGCTCTCATTTCAGAGCTTGTGCAGAAGTCATATAATCCAAAATGGGAGATAATTAAAACATAATTTTGGTTTGGTTCTAAATACACTTAGAACCAAATGTACTGATTGCAAAAGAGGCAAAAAGTTCTCTACCTTCTGATCGTTAACCTGCTCCCCATCTCCGAGTTCCTAAAAACTGCTTTAATTTCTTAGACTGAGGCAAAGTGTTGGCCTAAGCAGAACTCCCTCCTCACATTAAAGTCTTTTTGATTCATATCTTGCCAGGATGAAGAGAAAATTGTTATGGCATCAGCTCTTTCCTTCTATGCAACAAACTGCATATACGTTAAGATAATTATGAGGTACAAAACGTACCAAGAAAAGCCTTAATTAAGCCAAAGAGATGCCCTAAATCAAAATTTGAAGGAAAAGTGTGTCATTAATGACTGACAACAGACTGCTTGAAAATACATTAATTTTTGTGTTGCAGCACTTACCATAAAAGAAATATAAAATAAGTACAAAGTGGGTTTACACAGACTATAGCTATATCAATTTCATGTGGAAGTATTTAGAGTCAGTGTTCCCTCGAATTTTTTTGATAAACCATTATATGAACAATCACTTCATGAGCCATCAAATGTGAAGACTAAGCATTTACAAACCTAACTGACTTTAGTTACTTAATAATATACTGAAACCCTCAAATGCCATCGTACCAGTTGTTTAAAAACAAAAAACAAAAAAGTAGGCCCACCAAAAGCTAGGCTGGAAAAGATAGGCCGTTGCCAAAGTAGAGCCATGGAAAAAAACTTTTTGTCTCATCTAATCAAATATTTGCTTTCCAAGAGAAGATAAATTTAAACTCCTAGCATGGTGAATATAGTAAACTGCCACTCAACACCCAATCCATCCTATTTATGTGCTTTCCTGAACTGTGGAAGACAAGGAGGTAAAACCCTCCTGCCACCGGTGTCCTAGATATAATTTAAGATCCACTAATCAGATGCACTCATGTAAAATTTGGAAGGCAGACGCTTCTGATGTTTTTGTTGACAAGCAGTCATGGCAACACTGAGATCTGCAGTACTATTCCAGTTTCTTCTTTTGTGAGTTTTTGTTTTTGTTTTTGTTTTTGTTTTGCCAGTGAGCATATCAACAGACATAGTGTGGCTCCAGAGTCAAAAGCTGTGACAGAGTTCACTCGATCCCTAAATCACTGCTGAAGTGATATGTTGTTGGTGTTGACTTCTAGACTTCCCACCTTCCTGACTTGGCCAGAAGGAGCAGCTCCCAGCAGCCAGCTGCGCATGTCGTGTGAGTCATCTCTGAAAGCCCTGGAGTCCATTTTTCCAATCTTTTGATCTATTTTATAAGCATTGACTTCCCATTACTAAATCCCTTTTTGCTTAAAATAGCTAAAATTCTGTTTTTGTTTTTGTTTTTGCTTTTTTTACTACTGAATCTTGACTGATATATCTAGAAAAAAAATTAAAAAGAAAGAGAAAGAAAGAAGGAGGGAAGGAAGGAAGGAAGGAAAGAAGGAAGGAAGGAAGGAAGGAAGGAAGGAAGGAAGGAAGGAAGGAAGAGAAAAAAAGAAAGAAAGAAGAAAAGAAAAGAAAAGAAAAGAACAAAAGAAAGAAAGAAAGAAAAGAAAGAAAAAAGGTCTAGGGGCTAGAAGAATAAACCAGGATAGTGCATATATCAAGATAAGTAAAGTATTTCTAAAATCAGGGAGGAGAGAGGGGACTTCAGAAGCTACTGTGGGACGCTGGTGTATTTTCATCTGGTCCTAAACCAAAAACACAGTGGTTAAGAGTTATTCACATGTTATTCTTTTCACATTTCAAATGTTCACTAAAGAAGTAGAAATTCTGGTTGGAAAGAAAGTAAAAGAAGTTATTGGACATTTCAGAGTACATAGCTCTGGTACACATAAATGGGAAACATTAGGGAAAGGCTACCCAAGATTAGCAACTATTCCTGTATGACAAAGATGAATCATTTAATTTGAAATTTTTCTCCAGATTTTCCCTGCTTCCTTCTTTATTTCCAGAGAGAATTACCAATCCTTTCTAGAGTTCTCCCCTTTGGAAAGCACCGCCAGTTCAGTGGTTCAGACTGAAAATCTCTTTAACGCCAGGCTCTCCCTCTCTCCCAACAGCGATCACTGGTCTTGATCCGTCTCCCTCCAGTGTCTCTCCTGTCTGTTGCATTTTCTCTCATCTGAGTCTAATGACATCATCTTTGCTGTCCCTTACCTCCAATCTCTCCCTCTTCTAATCCATGCTATATACCCCTGCCAGAGTCGTCATCAGCCACCCCCTTTCCAAATACTTTAATGACTACACACACAGTATTAAACCCCTGCACCTGGCATTCAGGGTCCTCCACCATCTGGGCACCATCTGCTTTGCCAATCCTACTTCCTTCCCCTAACACCTGGCCCAATCTACATTCATTCTGCAAAAGAGGCCCTAGGTGCCAAGATTACTACAGGGGCAATAGAGAAGACAGGCAAACCAAATTACAATACCGTGTGGCTATGAAAACAATCCTTTCAGATCTCAACTCCTCCATGACACCTTTACGATGCCCCTCTGTGAAACCAAACTTCAATTTTGCTTCCCTAGCTTCCCTGCTACATTTGATCTCCTCTTTTATTGTAGAATATACTACACTTTATTCTGCATATCTTTTGCACAGTAGATCATAGCTTGGTTTAGGGGTGCGGGGGCGGGGGGGACATTGATTCTTATTCATTTTCTGTCTCCCATGGCTGCAAATGTAGTAGGTAGTGAATAAGTATTGTTGAATTTTGGCTGAGCAAGAAAAGTCTCAAAGTGAAAGCCAGTCCTAGACCCTGTCATGGAAACTGATGATGTACTGCAGTGGTTCTCAAAGTGTGTTCCCTAAACTAGCATCATTAGGATCACATAGGAACTTGCTAGAAATGCAAAATCTTGAGCCCCATCACACCTGATAAATCATAATCTCTGGATGTGGGGCCCAGTCATCTGTGGGTAACCAGCCCTATGGGTGATTCTGATGCTGAAATTGGAGAACCATTGACATACCACAGTCTCTCCTAAAACAGTCTGATCATAGGACTATCCTGAGAGCTTGTCAAATCTCTAGCTTCCCAGATTCCTCCTCAGTGAGTATGAGTTACTGCATGTGACTTGATATACTTGTCAAACACTCCAGGTGGTCTTTATCTTCAGGAGAAGCCTAAAAACTTACTGATATGTTGGGAAGAAGTAGCTTTTGGAATGAGGTTAAAAACCAGGATTTTAGTCCTAGTTTGGCCATTTGGTGTGCTATGTGGGGTAGGCCACTTTTCCTTTCTAAGTCTTAGTTTCCTCACCTATATATGGTAACAGTGATTGGGTCTTTCAGGGTCTAATGCTCAGAAATAATAAATGTGCAAGTTTGCATGTAGTACATGTTCAGTAAATAGTTGAATCATTATTGTTATTATCTTTGAGGGGACTGAATGAAGGAAACACACCCACCCCTCTAGAGTGAGTTAAACCTCCTTCCTAGTCTCCCATGGGGCCAGAGATATAAAAGGTATTTCTTGTTGTCAGTTGCTGTCAAAAAATTTTTTTAAACATTTCTTTTAAGCTGTGAGCACTCCTTAATAATCTCTGCACACATATCCTATGAGTTACATAAAAGTGACTATGAACTCCATCCTGTGAGCATGGAGAAGGGTTCTCCCTCCAGCAACCCTTTCTCCTGCTTGGTGTGACTCGAATAGAGACATTCCTCCTTCACATCTTCAATATCCATTCTTTAGTGAATTTGTCTTGTTCCTTGGAGTACAAAACTTGGGAAAGGTATTTATGTAATTCGAAGAAGACGTATACAGGGATATTTTAAGAGTGCTCATGTACAAAAGTTTCGCCTAGTAATACTTACATACGATAGAGTATTTTAGTCTAGACACCATTTTTTAAGTGCTTGAAGTAAGCCACTAAATTGATTTCACATCCTATTTATGGGTCACAGTCTAAAATTTATTAAAGAGTAGCTTACCAAGAATGCTATTTGAAAAGCAAATTGCTAGATCTAGAAAAGACTTTTTAGGAGTTCACCTTCTTGAAGAAGCTAATCTACAAATAATTTTCTTTAGTATAGTCTTTAAAATCTGTGGTAGTGGTGATGAACACTTTGAATACTTTTTAAAAATTCAGGAAGTATAGTCTTAGTAAAATAATAAATCTAAAGAAGAATAAGAGTGTAACTATATAATTTTTTAACAAAATATGATTAAGGAGGGGGATTTATTTTTAATCATTGTAAATTCATTGCTACATGCAAACAGTGACATCTGGTGGAATGACATTGCTTTGCTTTAAACAAAAATTCCAGCTTTCACATATTGACAGTTAGGAAATCAGATTAATGTCCAAATCATTTCTTTTTTGGCATTTCCATATAAAAACAAAAATACACTAATCTAATATCTTATCAAACATCAATAGCACATACCGAAATGACTCTTTGTCATCCCAATCTGTATTTTTAAACCTTAGGTAGGGGTTATTTTTTAAAAATTAATAAAACAGAAGTTTAATTGAGGTTATTATTGATTATAGTTCTAACTCTGCCAAAAACTGTGCTTTGTAATGTAAAATTCTTTCTCAGTTTTCTCATCGATAAGTTAGACTAGGAGAAGGCTAAGATATCTGTGGCTCTGATATATGTGCTTCTGTGACACATATCACTAGCTAGACCTCAAACAAAGATTAACTCTCATGTTTTTTGGCATAATATCTTGGGTCATTGTCTGGATTATGCAGCAAAGAACAAGACCAAGTAAAGGTAGGGGGAGGCAGGGAAGGATTAGACCTGACCATTGAGGAATGGCAGACAGTGAAGGGAATGGGAGTTGGTAGGTGAAAGTCAGTTCCAGATAATCACATTGGAAGAAAATGTAGAGCATAAGAAAGAGCACA